TTCTCTTTTGGCAAGTGAACGCTAATGCATGTTTTGAAAATGGAAACTCGCCAGGGCAAGCATGGGTTGTGTGAATCTACATCGGCATGATGGACGAGGAGGAGTGAAAACCCAAACTTCTCGGTGTACCTTTCCCTCCTTCCTTGTTAATTCCATTTTCACTTCTCGCTCCTTACAGTAGCCGTGAAAACTGATTTTGCGCTTCTAAGATATATACCTAAACAAACCCAAAGATCAATCAAAATAAGGGGATTTCAAAAGGGGCAATAAGCATAAGCACAATTCACTGTCAAATAAAATACATGTTCCAAGAAATAGAAAATTTTACAAAAACAGAAGTTTGAATTTTTCATGATGCAAATGATGGTCTTTCTCCTTTCTAGTAAATTTTGTTTTATTCAAGTTTTTCCATTCCAGGGATTGGAGCGCGGTGAGAATCAAATTGCTAACCATCTCAATGGACAAGTGAAACGAAGAAAGATTAACAAACTGGATAAGGAAAGGTAACTGATGCCCATCTTTAACTCAAAGGCACTTCTGTTATTTGGAGTTCTCTTTTTTTAAAATCTTTTTGGAGTTTGGTCCTAAATATGAATATCTAGTCCTACTTACTGGTTGAAACATCGATTTTAGGTTGGTATCTAATCTTGTTGCCACCTGTGACTACAATGCTATGAAAAACGCGGACATAGTGATTGAGGCTGTCTTTGAAGATTTGGAATTGAAGCACAAGGTTATTAAGCAAATTGAGGGGATCGTTAGAAAGGTAAGCGGAGTCGAAAGAGGACATGAAATTTTGTATCTTCTCATAAATATAAACAGTCGTGCTGATCCTTTAAGAAATTATTCGAAACAACTTCTTCAGGACACGATCATCGCATCAAACACGTCTGCTTTACCTATCAAAGAGATTGCAAAAGCTTCTTCACATCCAGATAAAGTAAGTTTTTATTATATTTTCCTAAAAATTCAAGAAAGAAGCGTTGAGATCTCTCGAAAGCTGTTAAATTATGATCTTGTAGGTCATTGGCATGCACTACTTCTCTCCCGTAGAAAAAATGCAACTTTTGGAAATTATCGTTCATGATGGCACGTCAAAGGAAACCTTGGCCACTGCTGCTCAACTTGGATTGAAACAAGGCAAAACTGTAGTAGTTGTTAAGGTAGCCATACTACTTTGAGTACAGGATGGATCTGGGTCATCTAGTTGATCTGATACATTCCAGGATTGTCCTGGATTCTTTGTCGTACGTTGCTTGGGACCCATGATGTCCGAGGTAGTACGACTCTTGCAAGAAGGTGTTTCACCTCAAGAATTGGATAAACTCACCAAACAATTTGGTTTTCCTGTTGGAGCTGCCACATTAGCTGACGAGGTACTGTAAGGCATTGGCCTGCACAAGGCGGTAGTGATAGTGTAACCTTTTATAGGTTGGTGTTGATGTCTACGGTCATGTAGCAGTATTCCTTGGTAAGGCTTTGGGACCGAGAGTACATGGTGGATCGGTTGAGCTGCTTGAAGAGATGGCTGGAGCTGGATTTAAAGGAAGAAAAACTGGCAAAGGTTTATTTAGAGTTTCTAGAAGT